TTCATGGAGAAAAAAGTAACGTAACTAGTAATGTAACTAATTACTAATTACTTTTGAAATAAAGTAATCAGAACAGCAACGTGATTACTTTTAAAAGTAAAAATTTTAAACTTTTAATCAGTCATTTGATTACATTTTTAGAGTAACTTGCCCAACACTGTTCAGGAGTGTCAGTGGCATCAGTGGCATTGAGGCTGTTGGGAAAAGCTAGTTCATCTAATCTTGTCAATGAAAATTTAAAGAGCTGCTTGAGCTGCTTGCGTCACAGCTCTTCAGTCATTCTTTCATTACTCCATCCATAGTTCTGGAGTTGAGGTTGGAGCTTAAGCTCTCTATTTTGGCCAAATCGGTTCACTTTCATCACACTTGAGATTATATGAACAATATATTAACAAAACTCATAAACAAATGTACTACTTCCATATTGTCATGTGTTTCAGAATGAAACTGAATCTTGAATTAGGAAAACTCAAGGGCGAGGCTTCTGCCTTTGGCTCATTTTATTGTTAATAGGGTTCATTTTATGCACACATATATCAAGTTAGGGTTATCAAGTTTTTAAGAACTCAGACCACCAAAATATTGTCTCATTATTATTTTGTTTGTTATTATTATTAGAATATTATTAAGCAAAAGTCTTTTTTTTTTCACATGGAAATTTTCTGTGAGTGAAATTCATTCTCATAAAAGAAATTTGACTTTTATTTATTTTCAAAGAGCCTCTGATTTTGTCATCTGAATAGAAATAAAACACAATTGTCTCTTCAAAAATGTTTAGATTTCATGTACGTAACATGATAAGCAGGTTCTTGTAAACTCACTTGAAATAAAGCGAGTGTAAACAAAAATCATTGTGTATTCAGCATCGACAGATATCACCTTTAACTCTCAGCTGACTTTGGTTGATTGTGTCACTTGATGATCGTATTACAGTACAGAGAGGAAACAGCATTATATCAATGCCAAAACCAGGTTTCTTTCTAAAGAATACATTGTTTTTTTCACTTGTTGTTGAAACATCCAAAGAGGCTCTGGAATCTGATGCTAATCTCTCAGATGGCTCGTTCTTTTCTCAGTAAACTCTCTGGGGATCAGCGATGAGCTCAAGCAAAAGCTACAGGACGTGATGGTGGACAGACACAAGCTAACGCTGGGAAAAACACTCGGGGAAGGTGAGTGACTGCCACAGGGATCTGTGTGCTGTACTGTCTGGACGATCGGATTGTAACGGGTTGTGTGTGTGTGTGCAGGTGAGTTCGGCTCGGTCATGGAGGGTTCGCTCACTCAGGAGGA